TTTTTTTTAAATTTCTACTTATCAGTGTACTGTGGGTTGCAGTGTAGTTTTACCATCAAATACACACTTGAGATTTAGCTTGAATCCAACTGCGTTTGCTTGTGTTTGCTCATCTATGCGGGATGTCAGGGCAGCAGCAAAGGACAGATAGACCCGTTGCAAAGACTGGCATAGAAACTCAATCGCTCCCAATTCAAACTGGCGCATATAGAGCGGTTGTCAGCCGGTGATCTGGAAGAAAGCCTGGTTACTGTTGGTTGGACTCACCTTCCGGGATGCGGTTCACGTGGTTCACCTTCGTGCGCATCTGGAGACACTGTGAGGTATGGCTGCTAATCGAAGTCATTGGCACTGTCAATTTCCATCCAGAGTGTCTGAATGAGTGCCTGTAGATGTAGGCAACTTGAAATGATTGTGGTAGGCTGGCACCATGTCCCTTCCCCATCCACTTTTATTCCTTTCTTTAAATTAAGGTTTTCAAATAAATGCGGTATGCTCGATGTCAAACTGACTGCAGAACCATCATAGTTTATGGGTTGGTAACATCACATTAAACGTTGTTGGTTGCGTAATGAAGAACTGAAAGTTCGCAACCAATTTGCGCGAGAAAGAAACCACTGAAACGTGAAATAAATCACCTTGATGGACATCCTGAGCACGCTTGATTCATTTTCCATTCCAGATATGGCCTTTTTCCGAGATAACCTGTTGAAGCATCATCGTGAGGTTTTGATGACACAGCTTGTTCCAATGCAACGATCGATTGGGATGTTCTTAATCGACACTTCTACAATGCGCTCGCTGCTCTTACCCTCACCAAACCGGTGTCTGGAACTGTTTCACAGACTATTGCCTGTGGATGCGCGAGCTGAGGTAGACCGGTTGGTGCAAGAGACACAGGAAGCGGATTACACGTTATCTCTCACTCCGAGCACCACCGTCGACTTTGTCAAACATCTGGAATTCTTGGTTCACATGCAGACAAGGGTAAGAATTTCACCCTAATTTACAGATGACAATTATCACTCCAAGTTTCTTCTCCTGTGAGTCATTAAGTCACCAAATGACGGAGAAAAGTGTGAGGCATTCGTATTGATTAACCAAGGCGTAATTAAGCAGTACCGCAAATTTCGGTAACCGTTCTGACATCGAATTAAAACGAGCAAGCATGTTTCACCTCAGAGTACGGCTTCCTTCTTAAATAGACACTATTATTATTGTTGGTGATAAAACTAAAGACNAGACACTATTATTATTGTTGGTGATAAAACTAAAGACTTCATCTTAGAACTCCACACAGCTCATCAGAACAGACAGAAGGTTATGGATGAACGAGTAATGACTGAGGTCGAGGATGAGGTAAATGAAGGCAAAGCCAAGTGCGAAACCAAGTAATGATGTAACCCTTTGAGTTACGGTCCCTTTCCCGCGATTTACACTTTAGGATATCTGAGTCTTATAAGTAGACTGTAACAAGGGAAGCTGCCGCTCTATTCAGCTTTTGGCATCTATAATGTCTTGATCATAATGCTACTTTTTGTTATACCACTACTACAAAAAAGTACTCCCTTCTTCGATGAAGAAAACCTTGTCCTTGCAACGACATTCGCAACTCGTCAAAACATGGATAACTTTCCGCAGATTATCTGTGATGATTGCTTCTCTTTTTGTCCTCAATTCAAAAGATCGAACCGATAGAAAAGGAAGCTGACGTGGTGAAAGAGATATACGACATGATAGAATCCTTCAGTGTACCAGTCCCACCTGAAGATTACGCTGTTTATCAGGTGAGTTGTGCTCAGCCAATGGTTTTGCTGTAAATAGCATTGTAGTCTTCAAGAAGTTGTTGAACAGCCCTTTTAGAGGCTCATTTTTAGCTATGCACCTCTGGGGGAAATGAACTTCGAGTGGCGACTTTTCAAAACCCCCAAACTAACGTGTAGATTCATACTTCCATGGGCACTGGTAAAGAGAAACTTGACAAGCCTGGCAACGTC